CTGTACACCGTAGTCATATCCGTAGCCTTAGATCGTAGTCAGTTGCAATGGCCGTAGTCGAGCAAAACTGTATGTCTGATAAGTGATTTCAATTTTTTCACTACTAACATACAATTTACATTGTATGAAACTGATAAAATTGTTCACTATTAAACAGCTAAATAAACTATTAGACACTATTAGACAAAATCAATCTCAATACTGTTTACATAGTCTACGCTACCCGCTTTGTTAATAAAAGACACTATAGTGAGTAGAGCGTATCGTAATCTTGGTTTTGTTTTGCGCACTTGTCAACCTTTTAAAAATATTATGACTTCTAAAATAGTCTACTATGCCTACGTACGTAGTATGTTAGAGTATGCGGCTCCAATATGGTCACCTTATTTTAATATCTACATTAATCGCATAGAGGGTATACAAGAGAAATTTTTACGACACCCAAAAGGCAAAAAGATATCGAGGAATCATATGTTGAGACCTGTCGTGATTACAACCTACTAACACTTCATGACCGGCGTCAAGTTCTAGATATTGGTCTGTTGTGTGACATTATTCGTAATCGTTTTGACTGTCCAGACCTTCTGAAACTTATACTCTTTAATACTCTCCCACGTCGTACTAGGTCCAAGCACCTGCTACATATAAAGATATATGATAAAAATCCGTTGCATTGCACCAGTTATGGTCAAAACCCTGTAGTCTCTAGGTTACCCAAAATTTATAATAGTAAATTCAGTAATGTAGACCTTTTTGTTGGTTCTAAAATACAATTTCTTTACAGAATCACTAATTGTTTGACTGAACATGAGAAGATTGTATCGCAATAAGATTATCTTTTTCTTTTTTTTTTTGTTACAAAAGTATGTGTAGGGTATTTATTTGTCCAATTTTTTTATCAAAATACAGTTATGTAACTATAAATGCTTAGAATACACAATAAATAAAATACTTATCCAAGTATTCTATTATTTTTGTTTTAACAAACTAACAACCAAACGCTTTCCCTTGAGTTAATTAGAATATTATTGTTTTTATATAAATGGAGCACTCGTCTGTTTCTCTGATAAATAATAAAATTGTAATTTGTTGGATAGCCGTAATTGGCCTTTAGATTGTAATTAAAAATTGTAATATTAGTTTGTACTGAGCTGTGTACTATCCCTTCAAATAAATAAATAATCTATAGCGGAAAATCTCAGTACAAGAGTACAGAGAACAACGCGCAAGAAAATAGGTAAAGTGCCAACTAACGACTTCTGTGAATACATGCATTGAAAGTTTCCGCACATTCGTTGGCACCGCAAATATGTTGCTAAAATTTACGTTCAACGACGTCGCAGTATTATAAAACGGATTTGCATAAAGTTCACACACAGATTCCTGCTCTCTTTTCCATTCATACTCAATAGTTAGATAGTAAATTATATCACTTTTTTCTTTTCTTTAACATGTTCCTCAGAAATTGTTTAATAATAATATACGTAGATAAAGCCGTAAGTTACTTATATTTGTATATTTATTCAATGGAAGACAAAACAAAATCAACTAAATTTTATTTATATTTTTACAAACGGCAAACACTTGCAACTGTCGACAAATACGACCGTTTTGTAAAAAAAATCGCGATAGCAGTTTTACAGTCTGCGAACAAAACGATTCCTTCTTTTTTAAATTGTCCACGTAAAGGGGCCGGTCACAGATGCTCATTAACATACAAATGGAGTACGGGGTTCCGCATTGAACGACTTCGGTGAGGCTTTGTACGATCAATGTCATTACCTGCTCTCGTAAATAACAAATACGTGTTTAAAAAAACCTTTTACGATGAATATACTTTTTAAATTATTATGACATATAAAAAAGCATGTTATATGTTAGCAATTTGGTATATAATTTTAAAAAGTAAGCAAAACAACAACACACTCTACGTAACGCTACTTATTGTCCGGGGGAAATCTCAAAACATTTAAATCCTAAAACTTTTTATTACTTTTCACAGACAAACAGACTGTTACTTATGTGAAGGTAGTTTAAATGTATTATTTGCTAAAAACTTATCATTTACAGGCACACATTCAAACAAGTAAATACATTTAGATGAAACCTCCACAAAAACCAATCAACAGTAGCGCGGTGGACTCTGATAGATTTGTATATTCCACTGCGGTCACCAGAGTGGGAATTGAAAAATGCATTTATCTGCATTTTTTATTTTGTTTTAAAGAGAAAGTAAAAGAGTATTTACTTTTTGCTTAAGCCTTTATTAGCTTTTACTGTGTTTTCTTATCATCTCGTCTACCATCATCTCGTATGAAATTTATTTTCAGTTCGCTGATTGAACGGCCTATTTCTATTGATATATCAATCGAAAACTAAAAGCCATTCAACTAAATGTCACGTGTACCTGAATTATGCAGCCTGCCAATCAGACATACGATAACAAAGATATTTCATCTCGATAAATGCCATTTGTTGTCGAAGCTATTTACTTTCAATACTGTATTGTTGTAGACGACATGGCACAGTCTTTCGACCGGCGATTGTGGAGATCGAGTGACTTTACGAAAACCGGTAATTGGATGGATGATCAAACATTTATTGTAGTAGAACTACATTATAAGGAATAAGTGGACTCTTTTTGAAAAAATTTGTATAAATTACTACCAACTTTAACAAAGCAATTTTTAGTTTGTCCTTTTATGTTTCCAATATTCACACTAAGTCCATCCTTAATGATAAGCCACCGAAATTTATTATCTATTTGCCCTTACATATCTTCAATATTCCACAAAAAAGAATTCTTAATCACTATGCTTATACCTATTCAAATGTATTAGTTGATGAAGCGAAACTTGTATTACTGATGAAATAACAAATTGTGAGGTTGTTGCGTTTTTAATATATCATAAAATATAATTTCTCTGTAAGAAGTAGACCAATTGCTAAACCAAAGTAATCTTTAAAGCAGACAATTTATGAGTTATTAATATTAAAAGATATATTGGTTTTATGAAAACACCTTCCAAAGTAATTCGTTATTGTATTGAGTTTTTGAATTCAAAAGTCTCTGGTGCTGATTCAGTTGGATCACTTTGTAACCTAAACTTGTACCTATAATATAACTTTGTACCTATAATATAAAAGTATCTGAAAATTTTGTTCAAATATAATAACTTTGTTCCCGTTATTTTGGTTTTATTGCGTTTGTGCCAAACGATTTACCACCGACATCTGTATGGTCAAGGTAACCGCCCGATCGCTAATTGTTTATGTTTAGATTACCAATCGAAGTCACAAATTCTTTGTTTTGGGTAGACCATGTTGTAGCGCTGTTGTTTTATTTGTCCGATTTTTGTCCATTAATTTTACTAATGAATTTTAATATAAATATATGTTATTTAATATACATATTCATTTTACGAGGTAACATAGTTTCATTGTGTAAACGTTTGATCGTAACGATCGGAAGTCAACCATTTAAGCAGAAAGCGCAACTTTGTGTCTGTAAAATATGAAAATTCCTACTAAGTAATATAATTAAAATATACTAAAGAATTTTTGGCTGATAAAATCGTACTTACATGCAAATAATAAATTTTAAATATAGTGTAAAATTATTAAGTCATAGAACATATTTTAATTTCATTATGATCATTCATCACAATAATTAATAATTCTCAAAAATAATTCTCACGATAACCTCCTATAACTTAAAATCTCCTAACAAAATATGAGCTCTCAATAGCTTAGACAAGACTGCGATACAAAACGAACAATTTAAGTGCATCTTCCTTGTAGGATTCCATTACTATGTCACGTGACGTTGACGTGACGACCACGTGATTGATGCGCGCTCTAACACTCGTCCGTCTGTGGCGCCGTTTTACCTCGATATATAAATATTGTGATCCACGACATAATTTGCGGCACGAGTGTCGTCGTAAGTGGTTTATTATTGATGAAGACGCACCATAGGAAGTAGTTATACCTATTTATATTCGATACTACCCTCCGCAGAAGGCCCACTCTATTATTCCGAAGACGAAATATGTAATTATTATATTTGGTCAATTTTGCGTTCACAATGCTATACTGAAAAATATTTAAATAGTCCATTTTGTCGTCTCAGAGTGCCAGGGACAAATTGGATTTTTTTAAGCATATTTCATTACGAAATATCTATTTTTAAAACGCTAATACGACAACAAAGAAGCACTTTTTTATGATACATTGGGGATAGGACCTGACTCCACCTGGTTGTGATATAGGGATAATCTTTACAGATATGATTTAAACAAAATTAGAAAACGATTTCAAAACAGAATAGGCCGTCTGATAACTTTCATACTTTTTACGATTACGTCACAGCTTTGAACATATGCTTTGATCTCTTTATATGACCTAATGTATTAGACGAGGTAGTTATTGTGCAATGTTAAGTCTTTAGATCTCTTCGAGGAATGGGGGGAGGGGGGCGTGAGGGGTGCGACAGCCACGCAGACACGCCGCGCCGATTGGTTCGTTTATCTAATTTTACACATTACGATTCCGAGCACGATTTGTGGCGCTGGACTTGCTTGAGCAACCAACTCTGACAATTTTTGCTCGGTGCTAGTATAAAACTTTATTAAGAGTACTTGTATCTCGGCTTACAACCGCGTGACATACTCATGAACGTTTTATTAAAAACAAAAAAAAAAACAATCAAATCTTACCTCTTCACGATATTAGTATAGATTTAATTTTATGTACGTAAATATTTCACGGAAAATGTTTAATTTTATAGTAAAAGTACCCATTTCTGCTTGTTTAAGAAATCGATTTTTTACAAACTTAATTTCTAAACAAGGCGGAGGAGCTTTTAAAAAAATACAATATTTTATTTGAGACGTATATTCGTCTCCAAACTGTGTCTAAGACTAACTTAAAACTATGGTACATTCTTAATCTAACGGATGAACATCCTGGAGGCGTTTGCCGACTCAGCGTCTGGTTACTTAAAATATGTTTTGCTGACTTGGAGCAATGGTTGAGTCGCCAAGCGTAACTCCTCCCTCCTTGAGATCGAGGTTCTCTTCTTGGGGAGAACTTCGGATACAGAATTTAAAATATTTCAAGCGGTACTTATAAACTATAATACAGAGTAATACTATAACTAAGATATAGACTATCAGTGTCCAGACGCTTACACTTTTCACCACTATAACTGCCCGTTCACATTCATCTTTTCCACTGACACTTTTCTTGAGCGCGAGAGACAGAAGTTTCAACTCTTCCAGGTCGATTCCTTCCAGGTCTAGGGGTTTTGAAGATGCGGTTTGATCGGGGAGGTATACTGAAGGTAAGTTCATTATCGGTAGCTTTTCATATTTTATATCTTCTTTATTTATCTGATGCATTTTCAGGATTATGTCTTGTATCTGTACCTCACAGGATTCGTCCAGGGTGAGTATATAGGTTCCATGAACCTTGTGATGAGATGTTTCATCGATGCAGTTGCTGGTAAGTAGTTCTTCATTTTTACTATAGAGAATCCATCTGTTGGGCTGTAAAAGCTGGATTTTGACCTTCTCTATGCTAACTGGGATCTGGGTACATGATGTTACATTTTCTACATAAGTTATCAAGTCATTGATGCAGTGGTCCTGAACAAACTGAAGCTTTTCATCATTGGTGCAAACAAAACTGGACTCTTCGATTTCTTGACAGGGCTGGTTGAGCAGTCTGATCTTCGATCCTTTCACTAAGAGGTACGGGTATTTAGGTATGATGATGACGGTGGATTCATGGGATAGAACAGGTAAGGGAATTAGTTTATAATAGATATATGTGTCCCCCTCTATTAGAGGTATTTCCAGAAGGTAAGTGATTTTATTGTCTTTAAAATAAGCTTTGATATTAATAGTCTGCTCTATCTTAACTAAATTGGCTACGCTAGGTGTATATACTAACTTTTCTATCCTACTTATTTTTTCTAAGATACTTATGAGTTTGTCAGACTCTATTATAGACTGATGTAATATACCTAACTTACTTAGTGCAAAACTAGTTTCTATTTCATTTACTTTGGCATATATTATTTGGAAATTGTGGAATAGTAGATTATATGTACTTATAATTTGAATTTCAAAATGTTCTCTTTTCAGTCCTCTACTAATATTTTTAACTGTGTCTGCAATTTCTTTATTTAATTTGACGATATTATTATTTAATTTCAATGTAGAGTTAGAGGCTTGTACAGTTTCAGTGATCAACGTCAGTTTTGCATCATTTGAATTCTGTTTTGTTTTTACTTCCTTTATTAATTTTTCATATTTCAGGGCGTCGTTGTGATCAAGGTTTCCAGTGATGAGTTTAACTAGTGATCCTAAAGGATTTATCAAACCGCGTTTGACTCTGATAGATGGGAAAATTTGTTCAAATTTGTTAAATGCTAAATTCTTTATATAATCTACTTGTTTCTTAATATCTATAAAATTATCAGTGAAATTCTTTTCAAACTTAAATTTAAGTAACTTATCTAATTCCGCTAGACGGTCAATGTTAGAAACCAGATCTTCTTTAATAGGCGTGAAGTCCAGTACCTTTGCGATTATCCATTTATCTCTGCTAATAACGGCAACACCGTTTCTTATAGGCAGGATTCCGGGATTTTTATTCAACTCCTGCAGCTGAAGTGCCTGGAGTTGGATCGTCATAGACGTCACCAGGAGGGCGAAGACGAGCCTGCGGAGGTCGTTTAACATTCTTTATTGGAACTTTAGTATTACGGTTCTTTATTTCAATGGGGATTATATTTCTACTGGCCTCATTTGTAACAATAGCTTTGTGATAGCGTGGCTTATCTTTGCTACTCCTTTTATTTGTATCTCTAGCGTAAATAATATCACCGGGCTTTATATTAAATTCTGTTTCTCCCCCTCTTTTATCTATTATTTTCTCCTTTCTCTTAATTGTTTGGTCTACTAAATGTTTATACAGAAATTTTGTTCTTTTCATGTGTTCTTTAATTAATTGTTGTGTATATTGTTTTTCAAAGTCGACGTCATAAGTGTTTCTAGAGTCAGTATGTCCTAATAAAACTTCAAATGGCGTTAAGTCAGTGGTTGAATGTATGGAATGATTGTAGGCCATAATGGCGTATGTCATTATGGACGCGGCGTCTGTATATTTTTGCTCATATTTGGCTAAGCGATAAATTTCTATGATCGTAGAGTGGAATCTCTCTATAAGACCCATAGAGTTAGGGTTATTTGGAGTTCCAATGTGGATGTCTATTTTGTACATAGCTAATAGTTCTTTCAGCAGTGCGTTATTGAATTCAGACCCTGGGTCTGCACTGATTTTAATGGGAACACCGTAAAAAGAGAAGTATTTGATAAGGGCTCTGACAACTTCGGGAGTTGAACGATTTGGAATTTCGAACGCTTGTCCCATTTTACTAAAAGCGTCGATGATAGTCAAATAATAACGTCCTTCGATTGAAAAGATGTCCATGAAAATTTCTTGTAATGGTTTTGTTTGTGTTTGAGTTAATTGAAGTTTTGGTTTTAGAGGTTTTCTGTCGTACTTCATTCTCTTACAGGTTTCGCACGAGTTTATAAAGCTGGATATTGTTTGTTCCATATTTATCCAAAAGTATGTACGCTTAATATGGGTTAAGGTTTCTCTGATTCCGCGGTGGCAAGTTTTTCCTATATGATATTTTTCTACTATTTCTCTTTGTTCTAATTCGTCTTCTACGTATACTACTCTTTTGGTACATTCGAAGAATTGTACTTGTTCCTTCTTAAATAAAAATATAACCATTTCAGTAAATTCTCGCCTATGTCTGTCATCTTCAAAGTAAATGTAATATTTTACGTTATTTCTCACGTATTCTTTCAGAAACTGTTTAACGAGATCCGGTCTGTTTACAGGTAAGTGAACTTCTAATACTCTTTGTTTTTTTCGTGACAAGTTTTTTACTGACAATTTATCAATTAACCAGGTATATACTAATATTTGGTTTGGCTTAGTGTCCACTGCTTCTTGTAAAATAGGAATTCCTTGAGATTCGGTGTCTTTTGCGGAATGTACTGTATCACGATTCGATTCACTAGATGCTGTTAACGTTGAACTAGAGGGACAGGGTATAGAATATGGAGATCTACAGTTAGCTGTTACAGTCGCATCTGAATCTGAGTCTGAAATTACTATTGCTTTATCCGAATCGGAGTCCGAAATGGACATTTTTTCTATCTGTTTATCTAAATGTGGTATTTGTTCCTTACCTAATCTTTCTATTTCTTTTGTAAGTTCTTGTATGTATTTATTTCTATCTTCATTTTTATCTACTTTAGCTTTTATAGAAATATTATCTTCTTTATCTAGTGCATTAGTTCGTATACGCGATAGAGCATCGACATTGCTATTAAGTTTACCACTCTTATGGACTATATCGAAATTGTACTCAGATAGTCGCAGACGCCAACGGGTAAGTCTACTATTGGTTTCTTTCAGAGTATTTAGCCAGAGAAGAGGGTTTATGGTCGATGACTATTATAAACTTCTTACCGTAGAGGTAAGGGCGGAAATGTTTTATGGCCCAGACTATGGCAAGTAATTCCTTTTCTGTGACACTGTAACGAGTTTCAGCATCATTAAGAGTGCGGCTAGCGTATGCAACGGGTTTGTCACTGCCGACCGTGCCTTGCGACAGAACTGCACCTAAAGCGAACTCAGAAGCATCAGTTGTCAGTATGTAAGGTCTGTTTGGGTCTGGGTATTGCAGTATGGGGGCATTTACAAGTAATTCTTAACATTTTTGAAAGGCTGTTAAGTAATTTTCACTGTCAATCGGTTTTAAATTTTTCTTTTTCAGTCGAGCTGTCATTGGTTGGGTAATTTTCGCAAAGTCTTTTATAAATCGTCTATAGTAACCAACCAGTCCTAGGAAACTTTTAATTTCAGTGGTTGTGCGGGGTAAAGGATAGTCTAGTACGGTTTTAATTTTGTCATTGTTTGGTTTTAAACCATCGCTTGTTATAGTATGTCCAAGGTATAAGACCTCTTTCCTAAGAAATTCTGACTTGTCTACTTGTATCTTTAAATTTGTCTGTCTAAGTCGCTCAAATACTGTCTTTAATTTAGTAATATGTTCCTGTAAACTAGATGAGAAAATAATTATGTCATCAAGGTATACTAGGCGGTGTATTCCTTGTAGGCCACGTAGTACGCTGTCTATTGTTCGTTGAAAAGTTGCTGGTGCCGTTTTAAGGCCAAACGGCATACGGGTAAATTCGAAGTGTCCTGTGCTTGTAGTGAATGCTGTTTTTTGTCTGTCATCTTCTGCAACCTCTATTTGGTGGTAGCCACTAGCCAGGTCAAGAGTAGAAAAGTAGCAGCTGCGTCCTAGTTTGTCGAAAAGGTCTGTAATGTTTGGAAGTGGGTATTTGTCGTCTATGGTAATTTCATTTAGTCGTCGGTAATCTACAACTAACCGAAATTTTTTTTCATTGCTTGCGTCGGTCTTTTTCGGTACGAGGTGCACTGGAGCACTCCAAGGTGAATGTGAAGGTTTTACTATGTTATTGTCTAGCATTTTATTTACTTGTTGGTTGATTTCATCATTTATTGCTTGTGGCTGTCTATAAGGGCGAATATATATGGGATCTTCATTACGGGTTCTTATGTGGTGCTTCACGTCATTAGTAAAAGTTAGGGGTAATTTATCAGAGTGAAATATGTCTTTGTATTCGAGGCAAAGTTTTGAAATAAGTTCTTTTTCCTCTGCATTCATGTGATCTAAACGGAGCTTACTAATATTTTCGGTTATTATCTTATCAATGTCTGCGTGATTTTTATGATTTAGGTTATTTAATTCACATTTTTCATTATTATATTTAGTTACAGTAAAAGGACTTGTAATAGTTAGCTTCATTTCTGTATCTAATGTGTTCTGTATAACGGTTATTGCGTAACCGTTTTCACAGGTAACTAATGCATCAGGCATTCGTACACCCTCACAAAATACTTTGTGGTTCATTATGGCGTCTCCATCTTCTAAGCTTGTGGGTAACCTAACTCTTTGTTCGCAACGCGGTGCTAATTTAATTTCATCCGTGGGGTTATATATGATAGGTAATAAGGCTGAGTTTGTAAAAAGGATTTCGTTTTTCATGTCAATTTTAGCGTCTAATTGTTTCAAAAGATCACTACCTATAAGTCCATCATAGCGATTATCAACGTCATAAATATAGAATTTATGGGTTTCTAAGCTTTTAAACGTCGGAAATAATGGTATGACGATAACTTCGTCATGCCTACTAGAAGCGTGTGTGCCAATTACTTCGAAAGGTTCGCGTTGTTTATAATAATTGAAATATTCGTCGGCTTTTCTCGGACTAATGAAAGATCTTGAACTTCCAGTGTCTAACATTAGTTTCGCGTTTATTTCTGGAATTTTTACGTAAGGTAGTTTCAGCGTATTACAATTCAAATTTATTATCTCAGGTTTTGATTGCAGGCACTTATGTGAAAATTTTCGATACTTTGGACGGGGGGCTCACTGTTATCCTGATCATCAATATAATGCGGTTCGAGGTCATCTGCATATTCAACATATTCATTATTATAATTATAATCAATTTCACACTCCTCATTCTTACAGTTAGACTCTACATATTCAGGTTCATTTAAATTATAAAGTTCATTTATATGGAATTGAGGTTTTGCAGGTGGAGCGGTACGCATGCTAACATCAGTAGATAATTGGGGCGGCAATCTCTGTTGTGGACGGTACCCGAGCTGCTGTTGCGTTTGACCAAAATTTGGTTTATAACCTAATTGGGGTTGATTCTGATTTAATTGGGGTCGGTAACCAAACTGTGTTTGACCTTGGTTGAGTTGAGGCTTATAACCGAATTGAGGTTGACCTTGACTAAACTGTGGTCTATATCCAAACTGCTGTTGTCCCTGAGTAAAAGGGGGCTTATAACCAAATGGCTGCTGGGGTAAGTGTGGTTTATATCCAGATTGTTGAGGTTGTGCTATAGGCAATCTAACCTGTCTGCTTGGTGGGATACCAAATTTAAATTTAGGTTGGTGGTTATTTTGTTGATTTAGATTATGTGCATTACTGTTTTGTGTGATTCCAAACTTAAAATGTTGTTGAGGCTGTGTATGTGCTGGAGTGAAGAAAGGCTTCATTCCAAATTTTTCTATAAATGGATTATAACTTGAATTTTGTGGTTTAGGCTGTACAATGGTTTGAGATTTCAACATTTTATTTTTGGAATTATATTGATAGAGAAAATTCACCTCTTCTAATACGATGCTCAAAGCATTTTCTAGTGTGTTACAACCCTTCAAGCGTACGATACGAAGAAGGTCTTCAGGTAAATTAAATAAGAATACATTCATCGCCATATTATCATAAATTATAGTTTTACTTCGACGAAGACTAGCGTCTCCAATCAAATTTACTTTGGCGATCAAAGTGCTTTTGACGTACTGTATCCGATTACAAAAATCTAAATATGATTCGCCATGGTTTATTTTTAAGGTTTCTAACTCTATGGAGATGCATTCCTCTGACCGTGGATCACCGAAATGCTGTTCTAACGCTGTTTTCAATGATGTCCAAGTGTCTAAATCTTGGCGTTCACTAATAAGATTCGCCGCTCTACCGGAGAGTCGCGAGGTTACTACGTGAAAAACATATAAATCTTGTTCAACGCTTCCTTCAATACGACAACGATCTATTACGTACTCGCATTTTCTTATAAATAAATTAAGTAATTTTTCATCGCCATCAAATATTGGTATAATATTGGACATTTCCCGAGGTATTTGCTTGATTTTATCCATTTTAACAGTTAATATAAAAATTTCTTTACTGAATAATTTATTGTATTTATTTTTATAAATTGTATTTATGTGTTTTATAGTAATGTAATTATATCAATATATTTATTATTTTAATACTACTCTAATAGAAGACAATAAGAGCACTTTGATTTTTAGAAATCACTCCTAGAAAACTTCCTAGACACTTATAACTATTATAGGGGAAAATGAATGGAAATAGACTGGAATAGCGATTTTTGGTCTACTCACAGACTGCCCATGTCACTAGTTGAGTCTCAGACGACGTTCCTCCGAAGCACAGTCGAAAGTTGCTCTGCCTTGTTTTCTTGACAAATTTATTTGGTTCGTTGCATTTCCGTGAAAAACGCGTAAAAACGTTCGGCGCGATACTGAAGTTAAGTTTTCGCGACGCGGAAATCCTACCGGCTGCGCCAGTCAAGTTGTGGGCGAGGCGGAGGAGCTTTTAAAAAAATACAATATTTTATTTGAGACGTATATTCGTCTCCAAACTGTGTCTAAGACTAACTTAAAACTATGGTACATTCTTAATCTAACGGATGAACATCCTGGAGGCGTTTGCCGACTCAGCGTCTGGTTACTTAAAATATGTTTTGCTGACTTGGAGCAATGGTTGAGTCGCCAGGCGGTTTTGTTTTTGTTGTTATTTTCTATCAAGAAGAAGAAGACCAATTTATTTCGGTTTGCATTGATAATGGACTCCGATACCTCTCGAAATTATGACCCGGCTATACCTCTGGACACCGAACCAAACACAAGTAGTGGACATCGTCGGCAGCTTTGTATAAATTGTGGAAGATCTATATTACATACTAGATCACATCTACTGCAAACAATATCCGACAGAGAAACACACATTAGAAATGTAATTATTGATTGGAAATCCCCACGACTGGTAGGATTATAGTTATTTTTATTTATTATGATTACTATAATAAAGCTTCCTTTATGAAAAGTAAAACATTAATATATCGCTGCCATATCGTTTAAGTAACATTTTGTTGACAAATAATTTTATAATATATTATTCTCTTTTAGGTGCATGGATCTGATAGCATCTGTCATTTGTTGGCAGTGAGCGGATAGAGTAACAGTTCCTTCTAATATTCCAGTCTACCTACACAGACCATTACCTTACCGGATTCTAAAAGAGCACCTGATTCACAAGCATATTGTTTTGTTCTGGGTTGTGACTCACCACAGCGACTGACAGTTCCCACATGGCTTCGAATAAAATTGTTTGTTGATTTTAACTTTTATGTACCAAAAACCAGTAGGCTGTGTAGTTCTCATTTATATTATAATAATTGGACTGAATGGTTGTCTATCATGCAACTAATTCATACATTTACTACAGAACATATACAAGATTTTGTATTATTTGTTAAAGAAAGGAATCTTACAATGGTTTTTATCAACATTGAAGGAATGCCTGAAGACATAAGGAATGCCTGAAGACATTGTGCACTTTTGGATAGGTCTGTCTTAACTATAGTTAAAATCAAATTCCTTCCTGGGTTATCTGAGATGCATATTGGGGAGTTAGGGCTTGTTGCTTGTTTAATTAAACTAAGAACTGGGGATAGTGATGAGAGAATATCAACTTTATTAAATATCCCTCATACAACGTTAAAAAAACTATTAGGAGCAGTTTGTGAATTACTAAATGTTGAATTTGTTTCTCATAATTCATTGACCACCGGAATGCCAGCCTCCAGCTGAAGAGAAACTGTATGAGCAGTGTCATTTATTTATTAAGTGATTTTGTAAAGTCTATTCTTATAAATAAGTGTATTTACTGTCTTGCTTGTACAATTGTATTTTCAAATTAAAGGTAAATATGTGTAAATCTACAATTTCTTTATTTAACCATCTCTGTTTGTTATTTCTAACATAAATAAGTTAATATGATGATAAGGTAATTAAAGTATTTTACAAAAAAGATTTTTATCGTTACATTGTTTATGGAATACTACACATGCTCATATATATACAATGTTAAACTTTCCCATGAAAATATTACAATAGTTAACTTCTTTGAGACATGAAATATTAAAAAATAATGTTTTTTATAACTAAAGATAATGTCCACTCAAAGCCAAAGTGCCCATACAAACTGTGTAAAAAAATTGAACTCCTTAACTACCTAAAGCATAAATTAATAATAAGAATCAAAAACATAAAAGTAATATATTCATTAATATTTTATGTTTATCACTGAATACATTATTTTATCAATTTTTACTAATTATTAACCTACTACTATCTCAGTACGTAGTTCGATCACGGAAAAATCACGGCGTTTTATATTTTTTGTAAACCCGAACAAAATATTATCACGAGTAACAGTTGCTCTGTGAAATTAAATAAATATATATTATTTATATTCTACAGGACTGAAAGGTAAATAATCGAGGAACACTGCACAATCCGGCTTACGGTGACCGTTTACGGCGACCGGGCGTCGTATCGGACTGCCTGATTACAACCTAATTCGCTCCGGGACGTGACTCGAATGCTACGGCATGACAACTTATGTAGCACGCGCCTCGCACTTCGCACGCAGCGCTGACTAATGGTGAAACGAAACATTATCTACCTGAGAAAGACTTCGCAAGCACGTGGCGGTCAATATGCACTCAAAGTTACACATAAATATATCTTTTGATTTTAATTAAATTTCATAAATTGAATTGAAATACCTATTTTATTAAAACTACCCTGCTATTGTTCCACTTAAAAGTATGTATATCATATACGTCGTAAAATTTTACTTAATATAATTGTTTGATTTATTTCATAATCAAAATAATACGTGGGAACTGAAAAAACGACCGTTCCAACTTTATAATTTAAGTAGTTGTCATGCCGCATCACGGTAAGTTGAAAAGTCGACCAAGGACTTATAGTTTATATTTGTTTTAGTCTATTTATTTTGGTAAATGACTGGTAATCTCTTATTATATGATGTAATGAGAGACAAAGAGAAATGTTCAAAGTCCAAAGCAATTAACTAACTAACCACGCGAACGAAGAAAAAAGCTAGTAATATATATTTATGAATATAATATATTCGTTTATAATTATAAACTTACCGATCTGGTTCTGTTTCTTAAAATAAATCTTAACATTATGATAATATTAATTTAAATAACGACAAATACCTTACAAACAATGAAAGATAGTTGCAAATATTCCAATGGTTACGATTTCTTCGCACACATAACACGATCTGCCCTTTCCCTTCGTAATTTATTAGTGCAGATAGCTAGCTAACGCTGCCACACATGCCTATGCCAACTCCCGTGAGATCATCAGGATAAAATCCTTTATTTAACAATTAATTGTTGTAAGATGCTCGTATTTTCAATCAATCTATCGACGACGTTTCGGATTTTGTGGATAAACACTGAAACTTAAATCCGTGAATGGTGATAGTTTGGAAGCTGAAAACTGAGAGATTTCTTTGAACCGAAAAAAAATACCCTTTCAATCAAGTGGATATAATCGCAGGTAGCAAATAGTTTGTCTTAAAAATAGTCGTAATTATTTTTATCGCTTGGAACAGTTCAACCAACTCTACCGGGATTTTTTTTAAGTTTCAAGAGTACCTATTGTCTATTATATGTTTCAAGAGTACATATTTAAGTTTCAAGAGTACATATTGTCTATTTTACCATGTCTAGGTAAAATAGTTTCGGAGTTATTCAATTACAAAGATTATGTAAATAAATGAGTGTTTTTAACCCTTAATAAGCTGTCTGGGACGCACTAAGGAACAAATTTTTAATCGGTTATTAACTTCTTAATTAACAAAAACGAAATAAATAAGCTGCGTTCGTCCCTGAATATCAAAGCCGCACGCGCTCGTCCGTCGCACGCACTAACCAATCACAGCACAGATCTCACTTAACGGCTTTTTTGTTTCGTCAGTAGATTTTTCGTTTGCTCATGCTCCTTTTTTGTCGATTTTTGTTTTGCTTTAGTGCATTTTTTTTTCTAATTGTTGTTAATATGGTACATGATGTTTATCTTCAGTGTTTAAGTTTAGTTTAGTGAAAATTGTATTTAGTTTGAGTGAAATATTATGTGCTATTGCGCGTGCACCGGCATGCAAAAGAGCATTCTTAGCTCAGTCTGCAGAGAGAGTGGATATTTTCAGCATTGATATCATAAGATATCGGTAAATAATTAAATTAATGTATTTCGCGGGCCGTTATAATTTGCACAAAATTGACATAGCGCATGCGCGTTAAAGGGCTAGCTACACTTAGAAATTCAAATTTTTAACTCCATTTTTACACCTTTTATACCTAACTTGA